AGAAAGGTAATTCTTGCCGAGTTATATAGCTCAGTTCAAGTCAAGAATATCCTTTAAAATTTGAAGTGTTAGTCTTGTCCAAGTTTAAGAGACTTGGCTACATAAAGACTAAGATGATACCGAGTTAACGTACTCGATTCTTTTTTATGAGACTCTTTAGCACACAATTTTCTTATATACATCAAAAAAGTGTACAGAGTCATGCATACATTACAAAGAGTTTACTGAAAATACTTCTTCAGATAAACAGCATTCCAAGGGTATTGAAGAGCTGATCCATCGGGCCTTTCGAGTCGATAGGTACCTTTTGGAAGTACTTGACTGATTTTGAATGGTCCTTCCCATTTTGGTTTTAAAGGCCCCGGATCTGGTCCAGTGATTCTTTTAAGTACTAAGTCACCAATTCGGAATGATCGTGGCTTTATTTTTGAGTTGGTGTACTTCTCGCTTCTCTGTTTATAGGCAGCATTTCTAAGATCTGCCATAAGACGAGTTTCATCCAAGAGGTCCAAGTTATCCTTCAAGTTTTCTAAGTTGGTTTCATCTTGAAAATTCATTACTCGGTATGTAGGGGATCCGAGTTCAACAGGAATGACTGCTTCTGATCCATAAGTTAGAGAAAATGGTGTTTCTCCTGTTGCATGACTAACAGTCGTGCTATAAGCCCACAACACATTTGGCAATTCTTCGGGCCAAGTTCCGTTCGCTGCATCAAGTCGGACTTTCAAACCATTTTTTATGATCTTGTTAATTGATTCGACTTGTCCATTAGATTGAGGATGGTATGCTGAAGAGAAAAAGTGCTTTATTTGATACTCTTCACAGAAAGTTTCAAGTCGTTTTCCTTCAAATTGTCGACCATTGTCGGTTATAATTGAACTCGGTACACCAAACCGACATATGATCGATTTCCAGATGAAATCAACAATTCTCTGTTCGGTAATCGCAGCCAATGGTTCAACTTCAGCCCACTTGGTAAAATAATCAACTGCTAAATAGCAAATCGAACACCTCCTTTTGCTGTTGGAAGTGGACCAATTATGTCGATTCCCCATCTAGCAAATGGCCATGGACTATAAATCGACTTGAGAGATTCTGGAGACTGGTTGACATTTGGGGCGAATATTTGACATTTCGTACATTTACGAACCCAATTCGTCGCATCCACCTTCAAAGTTGGCCAATAATATCCTTGTCGAAGTATTTTGTATGCTAATGCTCGTGCACCATTATGATTTCCGCAAATTCCTTCATGAACTTCTTCAAGGACATATTTTGACTCTTGCTCGGTTAAACATTTCAACAGGGGAACAGAGTATCCTCTTTTATAAAGGATCCCATTAATCAGCGTAAATCGAGCTGCTCGAATTTGAAGAGTTCGAGCTTCTTTTGGATTTTGAGGTAAGGCTCCTGTTTCTAAATATGTTATAATCGGTGTCATCCAACTCGGTGATTCTTGTAACTCGGTATTCATAACTTTAGCAAGAGAAACAGAAGGCATTTCTTGGTGACCAACTTGGACATAGTCAACATCCTCCATTCCGGTACTCGATGCAAGTTTGGAAAGAGCGTCAGCTGGAATGTTTTGCGATCGAGGGATGTGTTCCAACTGAACATCAAGTCGGGACATCTTCTGTTTTACGAGCGTTAAATATGGTAGCAATTGAGGTTCTTTAACTTCGAAATCTCCATGGACTTGGTTCACTAGCAATTGTGAATCAGAAAACACCTTTAGCTTGTTCATATTCATGGATTTTGCCAGACTTAATCCAGACAGTAAAGCTTCGTATTCAGCTTCGTTGTTTGTTGCCGGAAAAAGGAATTTAACAGAATGACAAAACATCTTGTTCTGAGGATCTATCAGAATGATTCCTCCACCAGCTCGATGTTGAATTAATGAGCCATCAACATACAAAGTCCATGGTTGATTTTCATTAATTGTCTCGATTGCAGGAGTGAACTCGGCAATAAAATCGGACAAAGCTTGGGCTTTGATTGCAGTTCTCGATTTATAATAAATATCATACTGACCGAGTTCAATAGCCCATTTGATTAGTCTTCCTGACGTGTCAGGTCGGTGTAAGATTGACTTTAAAGGATATGAAGTAAGTACCGTTACTGAATGTTCTTGGAAGTAAGGACGTAATTTCCGAGCTGCGATAACAAGTGCATACGCTAATTTCTCCATCGGCGGATATCGCAATTCAGCTTCATGTAAAGCCTTACTAATATAATAAATTGGATATTGTCGATGTCCTTCTTCTCAGATAAGAACAACACTGATAGCAGAATCACTTACTCCCAAGTACAAGAACAGCATTTCTTCAGGTATTGGTTTCTGTAAAGTTGGTGTTTGGAGAAGCGTTTCTTTTATTTTTTCCAGAGCTTGTTGACATTCTTTGGTCCATTCGAAACATTTTCCTTTCTTTATAGATTAAAAAAAGGGTCTACATCGGTCTGTTGACTTTGATATAAACCGATTCAAAGCAGCAAGTCGGCCGGTAAGAGCTTGAACACCTTTAACCGACGTGGGGGATGTTAGATCCATAATGGCCTTAATTTTCAGGGGATTTGCTTCAATACCTCGTTGGGTCACGATATATCCCAAAAATTTACCAGAACCGACTCCAAAAGTACATTTTTTTGGATTTAACACCATGGAATATTCCCTGAGGATGTTGAACATTTCTTGCAAATGATTAATATGATCAGCACCGTGTATCGACTTAACTAGCATGTCATCGACGTAAACTTCCATTGTATATCCAATGAGTTTGGCAAACATTTTGTTAACCAATCTCTGATATGTGGCCCCAGCATTTTTAAGACCAAATGGCATCATGGTATAACAGTATAGACCCCGAGCAGAATAAAAGGATGTATGTTCTGCTTCCCCGGGATCCATGGGAATTTGGTTATAACCCGAGTAGGCGTCCATGAAACTCATCAACTCATGTCCGGCAGTGGCGTCTACCATGTAATCGATATGTGGTAATGGATAACTGTCTTTTGGACAAGCTTTATTCAAGTCTGAAAAATCGATACAGAGTCGCCATGCTCCAGAACTCTTCTTCACCAAAACCGGGTTAGATACCCAAGTCGGATATTTAGTTTCTTGAATGAATTTATTGTCAATCAATTTTTGAACTTCGTCTTCAAGAGCCTTTTGTCGGTCCGGGCCAAGTTTACATCGTTTCTGAACAATAGGTTTTATGGTTGGATCAAGATTAAGTCGATGTGAGGCTACATTGGGGTCAATTCCTTTCATATCTTCATGTTTCCAGGCAAACACATCTGAATTGGCCTTGAGAAACTGAATGAGCTGAGTTCGTATTGGTTCTCCCAAGTTAGCCCCAATTCGAAACGACTTGATGCAGACAGGATCATCAATAAAAATTATTTCAACTTCTTCAGATGGTTCAGCTCGATCAAATTTACTTTTTTCTTTAAATTGAGCACGAGGATCCAGTTCATCCTCTTCATGGATTGGTTCTTTCCCTGGACGTCTTCCACAATCTCAAGTCAAATCACTATTGAGTTTGATGTTTGACTCTTCCGATTTCTTAGACTGTTCAATTTCCATCTCGGTTATTAGGGATACCGAGTCCTCAGGAGTTTGAAATTTCTCCTCTTTGTCTTGTACATTCTCGGTCATATGTATCGAAGAATGTGGTTCTTGCCAAGGTTTGACCCATACTGTCTCACGAGCTTCGTATTGATCTCCATAATGGGTTCCTTCTCCATGATTTGTGGGAAATTTTAAAGCATAGTGAAAAATTGAGACAGCTGCACGGAGTTTATACAGAGTCGTCCTTCCCATAATGGCATTATATTCATTTGTAAGATCCATGACCTTGAACGTCTCCATGATGACCTTGGAGGCCTGTCCGGGAGTTCCAAACCTAATTGGCATGGTTATTTCTCCAAGAGTTGGTGTAATTGTTCCATTAAAGCCTTGCACTTGGTCTTTACAGGGTTTCAGCTCGGTTGGATCAATTCCCATCTGTTCGAACGTACGAAGCATTAAAATGCTTGAATATGCGCCTGTATCAACCATTATCCGATGCACTGGTATTCCACAAATTGGTGCTGTGATCACGAGAGGATCAGAATGTGGGTGAGCGAAATAACTAGCATCGTCCATATTAAAAGTGATCGGACAATTATTTCGAGCGTTGACCCTATCTCGGAGATCGGTTGTTATAACAATGTTCCCCGAGTTAATAATAGTAATGGCAAAACTTTCGAGTCACGTCGACAGATAAAAGCTTATATGAATTACCGACTTCCGAGATCGTCAAAAGTACCGACTATTGAGGCAGACACAAATAAACCGACTTCAGTTCAACCGATATTATGATAAGTCGAATCAAACCTTATCTGTTTAAATCGACGGCATAAAAGTTCGAATATCCAAGCAGAAAATAGAGCTGCAAGCATGTGATTGGATCGTCAAGATAATATAGCAATCATTGATGTTCCCTGATTTCGAAGCACATCACTTTGTTGAAGCTGCTCAACATTAAATACATTCTTATCTATCTCGAGCAAGAAGACAAAAACCACCGTACTATAAATAGCAGAATTTATGATAGTACGAGGATCTTTTTCAACACATTGTACATGGACTTAAGATGATCTCGGTCAAGAATAAAAAACCGACTCCTGTACTCTTGTGAATATATCAAATAAAATCAAATTTTACTTTAATCTTTGTTTAAACACACTCAGCTGTTTGTAATTTTAAGTTGTTAATTTCATACAACAACACACCCTTACATGAATTGAAATATTTCAACAACCAAACAACAACTAGAAATAACACTCCAAAAGGTGAAGGCATATACAGTGGATATCGAAATTACTAAAACCAGTATCCCCAACATGGAAAAGGCCACAATGCAATCCANCGAACCTAGAGGAGAATTAAAAGTTCAAATTCATATGCAACATTAAAGTAGCACATCTCGACTTGAAGGAGGCCATCATTTTTCATAGACATCACTAAAGTTCTTCCAATCCACCTCCAATCGAACCGTTACCTACAAGCAAATGATAACATTATCAATAATATTGAATATATGAAGAGGAGAGGTAAAGGTTAACATTAATTTACCTAGTCGTACTGGTAACAAGTCTCTAGTCGCTTGTACTAAGGTAGACTCGCATGAAATTTGTTTAGGAAGTTGACCTAGTCTCTGAAGCCGGTTTTTTGTTTATGTGAGGGATTTTATATCGATTTTCTCCTCCTAATTTCATGATTTCTTTCATACATAATTGCAATGTGAGCCACACGTAATTGAGCTTGATGGAATAGTCAGAGAATGCATTCTCTACCGCACTTACAAGCTCAGGGATATTCCTTGCACACATTTTTTATTGTAGCGACTGTATGGCCCTAAAATACCCAAGGTCAAGTATATTCAAATCTGGAGAATTAGTGGGCTGGCAAGTTAATCAAATGTCAAAGCCATTTTGTGAAGTTGCTGCTACAAAGTCAGGGTCATTAGGAAGAACGTGTGTCCTAGCATTGTCTTGTTGGACATAAATAGTTTCCCCATAATCAGAGCTAGGTCATTTCTCAATAATAGATGGGATAACCTTTTCTATTAAAAACGCTTTCACATTCTCTCTTTTAACAGATGTGATCGCTTTCATCTCCATTGTGTCAGCTTGTCTGTGCCTGCTATTTCTCTGAGCCGGTTGCTCAGTGACAAACACCCAACATCTAACTTTGCCCGAAAGTACCACCCTTCCTTCATAATCAAATCTAGGACGTGCCATGGCTGCTAGAAACATATCTTTTGCAATGTTATTTTTACTTTGGCATGAACGATGAGGATCTTCTTCATTGTCGAGTAGGTAATACGTTTGCTCCTTCTTTATCAAGTAAAACCATTTTTCATCGATATGCACATAGTTGTACATTCCTTTGGACTTTGGCTCGTTCGACGTTGTGCTTTCATCAAGCATCGATAAACAAAATTCCAGCTGTGATATTTTATTTTCGTCTTTCAAATGTGGCTTGATGGCACTTGAGTGACGACGTAGAACCCATCGCTTAAAAAGGCTATACAATTTAGAGTAACTAACTCCTAAAGCATTAGAAAGAGATGCAAGTGTTGTTCTTTGATGCCACTCTATCTGTTAAATCCTACTTAAATCTACCTCAATTCGTTTACGACCACAGTTCCGTGCCTTCCTCGACGAAACATCCACATCTGAGCACGGTAAAGTTCTCTTGTGAATTTTCCATATTCTTTGAACTGTTCGCAGCTCAATATTGAACATATCTTTCACTTCTTTAATTGTGTTTTTTTTCAATTTACCATTTACACTTTTTTCCAACAAAGCATGGTAAACTGCCCACCGTTCAACGTCAGTTAGGATCCTGTTCTTTCTCCTTTGAACATTGCCTATTAAAAAAATGGTAACAAAATTTAACATAGAGAACCAAGCAATGAAACTATGAAACTAGAGAGAATTGTAAATTTAATTACTTGACATCAAATATAGTTTGGTTGCTAGCGAATAGAGTTTAAACAGATACTGCAAAAATGGAAACAAAGTAGAATCTTACAATATCTTGCCAACAGAAACATAGAAAGAACTAATCAAAACTTGTTTATTTGCAGAAGAAAACAAAATTACCACAACTCTCTAGCACACAAAAGAGGTCACAGCAAGACAACTAAAAATTTTCATATATGAATCCCCACATAACATACTACTGCTATCAAACATTACTCCTTTTTTATGTCATTTTTTTGCTACTGCAACAATGGAGTATCATTATTTTTCTTTTTTCCTTTTTTTATCAATTTCTCTACTGGCATACATCCACATGTAAACACTGTTGCCCTGAAAATGGATCCACATAATAAACAATAACAGTAAATGTATCCAAATATTTTTCCCTGAAAATATTTTGCCTGAAAAAGTTTTTTTTTTGCTTCTTTGAAGCACAAAACTAACAGCAAATGTATCCAAACATTTTGCTTAAAAATGCACCACACAATGAACAATCATGTCAAGGTAATTTGGATAAAATGAAAACATCAAGCAAGCAGTAAAAGTTGATATCAATAAACTCACCTTGGCTTGTTTCCCCTGCTTCACCATTCTCACCGTCAAATTCATTGAAAATCTCTTGTCTACCCGGTATTACGTGCCCTTGAAGTACTCCTTCTATGTCTCTATTTCCTTCTCCATCATTGGCTTGCTGGCCAATTATCTTTTCCATAGATGAATCGGACCTAGCTTCGCCATCATCTTCGAAAAACTGATTTAAGTCGAGCTCGATAACAGGATATCCAATTTCTGGGTTGTCGTCAACATTTAGCTCGACTATAATGTTCTCTGAAGATCTCGGCACTTCATCTTCTACGTCGTAAGGGAGTTCGTTCAAATCGATTAGAAAATTTGAAGCCATTGCAAATCTTTATTCATAATGTGTGGTTCAACTAAATTATCCATATCCATATTTATGGACCTCCTCATGAATTTGGCTCCTTGATGAAAATTTTGAAATGTTGAATGTGAATTTTCATTTTACCTCCTTGTCGAAATTTTAGCTCCAAATTTGTAAGGTTTCAAAAAATGAAGTTGCAGATAGTTTGACGTAGAAATATGGAGAAGACGATGAGTTTTCACTTTAACTTTTTTTTTTTCCTTCTTTGTGTTTGGTCCACGTTTCTGTTAGCCCTTTTTTCTCTATTTTTTTTTCCTGTGGATAGATGATTCATATACTCCACTTCTCACATATTGGTTCACGTTATTAATTTGGGTTAATGAGAGTTATAATTGGAAAATAAATAACCCTTAATTACTGTGCATAAAGCCAAAACTACAATTAATATGAATTGGAGGGAGTATAATTTATGTTTCTTTCAAAAATTCTGAAAATTCACAAAAAACTATGGGCGGGAATTGCCCAAAATTATCCAAAAACATTTCCATAAGTAGTAAAAACCGAAAATTTGAGTGAAAATTGTCATGCTATTTTTATATTTTTTCTTATTGCTATTATATGGTAATAGATATTATGTCAACCATGATTTTAGTTTTATTTTGATTTCTTCCATAATGAAATTCTAATAAAATTCATTTCCATTGCATAGTATGATAAATAAACTATAAATCTTTATGATGCAAATTAGAAAAAACAAAATCCCTTGATTATAGAAGGGATTTAATTTTTAGAAATTGCTAAATTAAAGTTATTTAATTATTATAAAAAAAGCGTATATATTTTGTAAAATATTTATTGTTTACATAATTTAAATTGACTACATTAATAAATAATAGTAATCTACATTAAATATTTTTTATTATATAAAATAAAAAGAAGAAGAAGACTGGTTCAACAAATTTTATAAGAAAAACAAAAATGACATTATATAATAACAAAGTTTATAATAAAATAATAAATTAAGTATTGTATGGTGAGCAAAAATATGTAAAACTATTTTTTTTTCTTACACATTAAGGAATAAATATATGTACTACAATAAAAATATTAGTGTAAACGTTTTAGCGAGATAATATATTAATTAATTTACATATTAGAGCTAATAGGCTCAAGTTTAACGTTATGACTAAAACACAACGCTGATCAAAAGAAATTGAAAAATAGATGATCCAACTCTATTATTTTTTAAACCAAACGGATAGGTCCTGTGAAAATAATTCATTTAATATCTTTTACTTATGCATCGCACGGGCTAAGTACTTATTTGGATTATCAAATTTGTTTTATTATTTCAATTTTCAATTAATCTGATGGTTGAAGTGTTGGGTTCGATAGTACAGTACGGACTGTACGCAGCGGAATTTAAAATTTTTAAAGTAAGTATTTATCGTATAAATACAACACCCGTACATACTAATTGCGAATTAACTGATCGTCATCTTTAAAACATGCATCATATACAAATTTTGATTTGTTACTATAAAGTAAATACTAGTAAAAATATTTACCGAATTTCTTGAACTCCTTCACTATTGATGATGGATGAGGGAATCGGTTCCCGGTTGTAACTTCAACGACTTGAGGTTACTCGCTAGAGGAATCCAAGTGTCTTCCCTCTAAACGTATCCACCCTATGAAGCCCGGTTCCGACGACTTTCCTTCGCTAGTAGAAAAGACTCGGTTTTCTTGTATAGGAATATTTATGAATTTTATTTGGGAATTTTAAGAACTCTTTCTTGAAGTTTTATGAAGAACACTTTCTTCTCTTTCTAACACTTAGAAATTTAGGATCAAAAACTTCACTTAAATGCAAAACCATTTTGCATATATTTATACTAAACATTTTAGCATAAAATAATCAACATTTAGTAATATTAAATAAAATCAAATTTTATTTAAATAGTATTTACTAACTTTTGACTTTGAAAATAATAAGATATGTTAAGTAGTTCAAACAACCATCAACAACCATTTTATTATAATCATATTTATTATTTTAATCCTTAAATCATATTTAAAGATATAAATAATAATTGGATAATAAATCTTGAGAATCTTTCTCAAGACTTTATTATTATATCATTTTCCCAATATTATAATAATCATATTATTATTATTTTGGATTTTTGAAATTTAAAATCCTATTTTAAAATTCAACTTTATTAATTTAGTAATTACCTTAATTACTAAAGTAATATCCAAAATGTAATTAATCAATCTTATTGATTAATATATTCCTTTAATTGATATCTAATCAAATTAGATATTTATCAATTAATTCTAACCATTAGAAATACAATCTTTACCTTTGTTCATAATTAGTGTGACCTTTTAGGTTCACCTTAATACTAGTAGTGGGTTTACAACACTTTGTAATTTGAGTTAAATCTTATTAACTCTTATTCATGAATTAACCCTTTCATTTATGAACCCACATATCATGGTAACACCTAGCAAGTAGCATGAATCTAGTATTAAGTGAATAGCGAGTAAACCTATTCCGATTACAACTCCATACATGTAAAATCCTTTCGACATCTAATTTCCCGATTAAGTCTTGGGTATGATTTTGTCGAAACCCAAATTGACTTAATAACTATGATTCTATTTCATGTTTATTAACCCGGTTATGAATCACTATTCATCTCTGCCTTGGCCAAGGACTTTGGATTAATAACTATGAAACACATAGGAAATTCACTTATCTTCATAAGTGTCGAATCCTTTATTGGCCACTAACAAACTTCCATACATATCAACATAATACCCAACTTATCCCTTTAAACGATAGTGCTAGCTACCAAAAGGATAAATCAAAGTCAAATGTAATATGCACAAAGTTACCATTGTGCCTCAAGTCTTAGGATTAGTCATGTACTATTGTAACATGAAAATTCTTATTCGACTGAATAAATTCTTCATTAAGAATTTTCATACGGTCATGTTCAGTGAACTTGTTCTCTAACAAACACCCACATAAATGTACTTACGTCTTATGCTAATGTTGATGGAATGCAACATTCTTGTCCAACAAGCATACAAACTATGTGCAAGTCTTTTATGGATTATTCGATATCCCATCTCGAAACATCCATCGACTTGGAACTGTATTTAAGATCACGGCTTTCAAGGTATGTTCCATGATCACCATCTCTATGCGCAACCATACCTTATAACCATAAGTAATCTAGGGATTTTATCTTAAGTGCAATTATAAGATAAATGCTTTCTCTTAAGATAAAGAAATGCCTTATTCATAATATAATTCCAATAGACTGTATTTACAAGTAGAATACGTCCAATTAGATTGGAACGCCGGGTACCCTACTCTAACATGAAGCACTTGATCTAGGTGCGCTGCCATGACATACTATTATATGCACAATAATGCTAAGGAGCCAACAGTTGGCTCGTTAGCTTTACTGATTATATGCATGCCATCGATTTAATTTTGTCTCGATAATTTTGTGTGTTAGGAAAGTGAGATGAGAGATCTGGTGTGATTTTATATATATAATCTCGTTGTTAATTTTGTTAAATTTCATTGACTTATGGTATTTTGTTCTTAGTTTTATGCATAAAGTTTACACAAGCTATTTTGCATACATTTCTATAATTGTGTATAAAATTGGGTGTATTCATTTGAGATTTCTAAATACTTTTTAAGACTTTAGACATTCTGGTGTATTTAGTATAGACTTTTTAACACTTTTAAAAGTCTTGGGGTAATCAATTGATTTTAAAAAGTCTTACCAAGTCTGGATGTATCTTATTTGAGACTAGGATTTGTCAAGACTTTTTAAGATTTGCTGGGATTTAATACCAACCTGATACGAAACAAATCCCACCTCCAAATAAGATTTCATAGAATTACTAAAAGTCTGAAAATCGTAAAAAGTCTAAGAATGTCACTCGAATTCCTAAACGAATTAGGCTTAACCGACATTTAAATCACCCGCCTTACTGCAATTAAAAATTTAACACACTTATTTAACACTATTCTTTAACTGCAACGGTGACCAAACACAAATGACTAACCAACCTCAATCCGGTTCAACAGAAGAAGTGAACAGTCAATTGATGGGAATGGAAATTGTGAAAATCCAATGGATAAAGTAGCATTGAAATATCAATTACAATTTCCATTAAAATTGCATTGTTAATATATTTTTGTTGGAATATATATACACATATTATTTTTTAAAAATCTTAATTAATTTCACAAATTCATTGTTTTACCAAAAATTAATAAATGAAATATATATTTGAAATAAAACTAAAATTTCTTAAAATCAATTAGGTTAAATAAAAAATAAATATTGAATGGGAGGAATATTTAAAAAAATATTTAAAATCATGTACATAAAAAGTTTTATTAAATTTGAACTATCATATTTAAATTAAAGAAAATATTTGTTACACGAATAGGCTTCAAAATAAACCTTTAATTCATCTGGAATTTTTGACAAAATTATCGTATTATCTTATGTATAGTCTCTCCATTGAAAAATAAATAATAAATATTTTTGTCAAATTTCTAAATAATTAATCTTTCATTTTTATATACTTTCTACTGATCCTCCTTATATTTTGACTATTATCTTGCCATTCTTTATTTCTTAAGCACTTGGGAATAATTTAATAAACAATTAAAACAATCCGACGTAAAACAACACTTGTTTACATGAAGAGCAATATTTGATGAAATAAGAGATCTCGGGTTCAAGAACTTTTTTATTTTTTATTTTTTACTTTTTTTAAGAATCGTGTTTCAGAAAACTCCAGGATAAAAAGAGAGAATACCAAAATATTACCATTTATTAAAATCGTAACCTTGAGTTAGTGTTTTGGAAGTGAACTAAGCCGACTATCCACACCCATCATTTTGTTTTTCGCACCCACCTGATTTTTGTTTTCTTGTTTCTCTTTGTTTTGGATTCAAATGCGCTAGACTTTACGATCCTATACAAATGGACGATTCTACTCTTGAGCATCACAATAGGTACAAATCTGACTTTCCGTTTAACTTTGTTTTACCCGGGCCTGCATGGAGAATGTCTCTTTTATCCCTGCACAGGTCGAATAATATACAACATATGTAGCGTACATTTTTACAAGGCTAAATTTACTGAGATTCGTCAGCGGGTGCTTGATGGTAAATAATGGATGAAATTGAACTCAGAGGGTCTGCATGATACTGCCCATAGAATGCATATATGCCGATTGTGATAATGATGAGTACAACAAATCTCACCCAGGCTTCGTAGTGAAGCTGCAATGATTAGTACGTTTTGAAAATTAATTGGAGATGAATTAATTGAAGACCATAAGTATTAAGTAGATAATAGTTTAATGTTTGGAAACATGCAAGAAAATTGAATTACCTGAGCGAACAGAAAAATGTTGAAGAAAATACTGACAGATGGAATGATTGGAACTCCAGGACAGGAAAAGCCAGGTGGCACTGCATAAACCTGGAAAAAGAAATAGGCTTATAGACTGCCGATTGTCAGCAGCAAAAATATGACAATTAAATAATTAAGGTTTGTACGAATGTACGTATATATATATATATATATATATATATATATATGAAAAATTACAAATGCTGGAACAAATGCGTGGACTGACTTGTCGAAGATAAAGAGCTGCAGCAGAAAATATTGCAATCGCAGCAGCTAAAAGCAGATAAACAAAGGAAGCATCATAACGGAACAGGACTCCAGCTGCAAAACCACAAAAGGCTATAGCAAGAAGACAGATAATGCCTTCTGCCCTTTTGGAAATGCTCCCAATAGAAGCCCGGATAGGAGTCTTATCCTTCCAGCGGAGGCTCACTACACATGCTGAGACAACTGAGTAGCCAGTCTGAACAAATACCGTCACATTCAAACAATCAACAATTATTTTTACAATAAATGGAGGTGGGGAATAATAAGAAGAAAGAAAAGGATTGGGCTAAATCACTTGAGATTTGTATTTAATACACATTCCTGAGATAAATGTAATGTAATACCAAAAGATAGTTGGATTCATTTATTTTTTTATCCTGGTAATTGGGCTAACAACCTCAGGGGTAACTTTTGGTTTTAAGCATAAATAGAAATGGATGTCTGAAAACAGCATATACCAATGTTCCAACTGACAGAATATGTGAGAGTATCCGCACGTTAAACAGTCCAGCCAGGATGCCGGCAACAAGACCAACCCAAACTTGTGAATGAACTGGGGTATGCCGTTTTGGGTGTACTCTAGCAAATATGGCTGGTAACAGACCATCCCTACCAAGCCCGAGGTACAACCGAGACTGAAAAAATAAGTTACTTGTTGACTATTCGCCAAATAAGTCGCCTCGTAAAATTTTGACAAAAAAAGGGAGAAATTCAGTTCACCTGAACATAAAGCCCAACTAAGAGTGTGGTTGTGAGTCCAGCAACGGCACCAAAACTGATTAAGACAGATACGTATTTCAAGCCCCTGGAGGTGAAAGCCTCAGCTAGAGGAGCATCTTCCCCAAGATATTGGTATGGTACCATTCCAGTAATTACCAAGCAGACCCCAATGTACAGTGCCACACACACGATCAGACTACCAATTATACCGAAAGGTAAGTCCCTCTGAAAAATCAAGTTGCAAATGTAGGATCTTAAAATAAATTTGCATGTCCTTAGAGGGGAAAAAAAAGAAAAAAAAAAAAAGAAGGGTTGGAATTATGTGCCTGGGGCCTCTTGGATTCCTCAGCAGAATTAGCGACTGCGTCGAATCCAACGTATGAAAAGAAGACGACTGTTGCCCCAGTCAATATTGACTTTACTCCATTTGGGGCAAAAGGAGTCCAGTTTGAAATGTCGACCTTAAATGCTCCAACAAGGATGACAAAGAGAACAATGAGCACCTGCATTAGTACATCCTTTCATCAATCATACGGCACAAATAACATCAGAAGAACAAGGAAACATAATACTCTCACATTAAGGAGAGGACGGTACTCAATGCAAATTCAGGTTAACCTCCACTACTTGTACCTGATTTGCCCACTTATGAACAACAGTAATATGAAGCAGAAGTCAAAACATTCTAATTGGTATCATTTTAAAAAGACAATAGAAAAATTAATATGAAACAACTCAAATTGCTAGACTTCATCTCTTTGATGGGATCAAAACTATAATCAATGGCAGAGACACAGCACTCAAAAGACACTAAAGAAACAAACAAATTTGATAACAAGTAAATTTTAAATGACAGTAGTCTTTCTGGAGGAGCAGGGCGCCGTTCCTACGAATGAATCGAAAGTTAAAAAATCTATGCAAATGCTATAAATTGCACTCCCATGTTCCCGAGAAATCTACAAATATATGTCTTCCATTTATCCACAGAAACTCGATCTCAGACCTCATATTTGAGTTCTTGAGAGTCGTAAATAAGCAACTGGTATGATTTCAATGATTAATTATTGTTATGTAGTTCTCATTAAAAACCAAGGTTAGAGAAAGTAATTTCAAGAATGTTTAGACAACCTTTGTTACTGTCATGATTGAGTTCAGTAACGAAGACTCTCCAACTCCCCAACACAGAACCACAGTTAGAAGCAGAAGCAGTATAGGAGCTAATATATTAATAGATACAGCTCCAAAAACTTCTTCACCATGCCCAACCCAGCTTGGAATGCTATCCTTGAGGAAAGGAATCAGCTCAAGCACGGTTACCACATAGCTCGCCAGGCTACGTGCTATGCTGGCAGCACCAATATGATAGTCGAGCATCAACTGTGCAAACACGAGAAAAGCTGTAAGCTCATTGAAAGCCGAGTATGTGTACAAATACGCTCCCCCGACAACCGCCGGAAAGCGAGTGGCTAGTTCAGCATAACAGAGTGCATTGAGCACGCAAGATGCCCCTGCTATAGTGAAACTAATAGTGACTCCTGCATTGAAAAACCAAAACAATTATTAATGAAATTACCAAAACGAGGATTACCAGTCATCTATAACTTAAAGATATATCACTAAGACTTCTTCCCAAGATTCTTCCCATCATAAATGACATCACAGTTGCAAGGTAAATCAGATTGCAAAGGTAATTCGTCTTTGAGGTCACTTGAACTGTTCATAAACTTGTATAGTCACCAATGGTATATAATTGGGACTCCAGACCGAGCCACTGGATGGAATTGGGATCAATAATTGTGATATTAAACAGTAGGAAACTACCTATGAAAAAACGCACTATTGTTATAATACTGAATTCGCACTTGTAACCCATTACTAACTAGTACTATCAATAAAGAAGGCCTGAGTTTTCACACTAAATTTGATAGCTAACCATCTGGTTTCAAATAAATATTAGTACTCAAACTCAATCAAACATGGCCTCTGAACTTGCATCTCATACGAATAATAATGTTTCGGGTTATGGAGGTACTGAAAAGCTCGTGACGATGTACCAAATGTCAATGCCTGCTGACCACAACAGAAGCCATGTCCAAATAAACAAATTGCGTAGAGAAAACGGAAACGATCAGAAACGAGAACAGCTTACCGGGACCAGCATCGCGAGCGACGGTGCCGGTGACGACAAAGATACCAGCGCCAATTGACGCGCCGATGCCAAGCAGGATCAAATCGAAGAGGCCCAGCCGCCGTACCAGGCCATCGCCGGAGCTCGTTTGGACGGTGGTATCCCCCGACGGAGACAGCGGTTTCGATCGGAGTGCCGAGGAGAGGAAGCGGGAGAAGAAAGAAGACGTGGGCGACGAGGGTGATGACGCCATTGGGGGAGTTCAGCTCAAATTCTCGAGCGGCCGTGCGGTAGATATCAAAAGTCGAGGATGTACAAATATCAATTCACAAAGTACAAAGCAAAGACAATTGGCTTGGATATAAGATTTTTTTTATTTTGTTTGG